TGAAACAGTCGTTTCACAGCTATACTTCGTCCATCGGGAAGCCGACCCTGTCGATTAATTATATGAAATGGGTGCAATCGGATATCAAATACTCATTAAGACCTGGGATGGTTAGGAACCACGACTCTCCACAATCGTATGATATTGTCCATTTTGAGCCTAAGCCTATTCTTTACCTATAAACTCAGGATCTCCTAAATTAGCTAACGTAGACTCAACAAGGATTACCTTATAAACAACTCCAAAGCCGCCTTTCCCGAGTTGATTTTCGTCGGAGAATCCATCGGTTGCGACTCTAATGGTGTCAAAATCGAACTGCAGAGACTCTGCATTTATAACTTCATCTTCAGGCAGATCTGTGGATTAAAAGTTTAAACAAACACAGCCATGAATCCTGTTGTGAAATGAAAATGGGGTATCAGCAAAAGGGGTTTTAGCTTTACTTTGAGCTGAATAGCTCTTTAGCTTTCTTCTCTTTAAGAAGATGCTGATGATGATAAGGGCGACAGCAGCTATGATAACCACAATGAGAGGCACAACAATGAAGACGACTATTCCAGATGAGTTTCCTGGAAATAAAAACAGGGCACTCTGTAATGAGTTAAGAGATAAAGAAAGAAAAAGAAGCGAATAGAACAGGATAAACTGTCAATTGCCTTGCGGAGTAGTAGTAGTAGTAGTTGTGTTTGGTAAATTAAGCGGTGGTGGCGCTGACTCCGGCCGATTCTGAATGAAGGGATCGATGTCAAATCTAATATTACAACTGGGTCTTCCAACTCTCCCGCCCATCTTCCCATCACAACAATCTCGAATTTGAGCAATAGCACCAAGCAGGCAGTTGGTGCAATCATTGGCAGACAAATCAGGAGTGCACTGCACAGCCCCATAAATGGGCCAGTAATTGGGAATTTCGGCGTCTCCAGCGGCAAATTTCAGACGAGAATCACCCGCTGCAGCTTCAGAGGTGAGTGATTCAAGCAAATTCCTGGCCGCCTGAGTGAACCGTTCTGGGTCTGAAGCATTACGAGTTCTCCAGGAAAAGACAGCAGGGGAAGGCTCCATGACGCCGAAGATGGAGCGGTCGGAGTAACGAAACATACACTCGTCGTACCATCCAATAGTCTCAATCTGGGTGGGACAGTTTTCTATGAGAAGGGTTATAGTGTTGTTGAGGCATGTTTGGCAATCGCTTGGCCCGACGTCTCCTCTGCACAGACCAATAGCATTAGCTTCGCGGTCCTGGCCGTAAGAGAGGTTGTAGAAGCCGTAGTCGATTTGGCGGTGGCTAGTAAAGGTGGAGAGGAGGTGATCAAGATTGGCTTTGTAGGTACTGTTAGCGGTGTAGTTCCCTTGTTCATTTTGGCAATTATAGTATTCGAAATCTGACTGACTAGTTGCCATGCGTTGCCAAGTAATGGATACCAAGAAAATCACGAAACCCAGATAGAGGGAAGGTGAAGAACACATGAGTCTTGGCCAAACCATTTAGCTGCTTTCAAACAAAGTCGACTGACCTAAACTTGATCTCCATTGATGAACTTATTTATTATAAGAATTGGTCAGCAGGGAGTGAAATTCACGGGTTGGAAATGGTAACCCAGCTTCCGATCGGTCTTCATGGCCCACCCATACTCTGTTTTGCCAGACTTTTCAAAGTCAATGATCCAGACAATGAAACCACTGGCTAAACAAGCAGCCTTACATTTTTTTTATTCACCTTTAACCTCAAAATTTTAAATTTTATGTACTTTTGATTGATGAACTTTAAAAAATTCCTTCTCTCTCCATCCAAGGCCACCGCCATCCTCCATCGACGCTTGGCCTGGCCTCTGATTTCAAGGCTTTGTGGAGTAACAAAGCAATGGGTGGTTCAAGATTTATATGTTCCATTACTCTGAGTTTGTTGTTTTTGGCGCTGATTGGTTACCCTCTGGCATTTGCTCAGCCAAGATTGTTACACTTTATCTGCGTCGACGGAGGCAATAGCAACCATACAACTGATGGGGCTGCCTACAAAGCCAATCTAGAACACCTCCTCTACACCTTCACCACCGACCATCAAATTGAGTATGGCTTTTACAACTTCTCTTACGGCGGCGAAAACAGAGCATACGCAATCGGACTCTGCAGGGGGGACATTTCGGCGGAGGCTTGCCGGAGATGCCTCAATAACTCCAGAGATATTCTCCTTACACGGTGTGAGACCCAGAAGGAAGCGCTTGGATGGTACGATGCCTGCATGCTCCGTTATTCCGACCGCCCCATCTTGGGGTCCATGGAAGTTTCACCGCCCGCCTTTCTGTGGAACACGATGAATGCGTCGGATCCGGAAGGATTCACCGAGGCCGCCAGGAATCTGATAGTGAGTCTCATAGGCCCAACCTCAGCCGGCGACTCCCGTATGAAGTTTGCGGTGGGTAACGCAACGCTTCCAAATTTGCCCACAATTTACGGCTCAGCGCAGTGCACCCCAGATTTGTCTCCGCGGAAGTGCAACGAATGCTTGTCTGGGGCTCTGCCTCTAATCCAAGATTGCTGTGATGGAAAGCGAGGGGGTAGGGTTCTTAGACCCAGTTGTAATTTTCGATATGAGACCTACTCTTTCATTCAATCGCCGCTGCCGCCGCCGCCGCCGCCGCCCACCCTCTCACCCTTTCCATCGCCACCATCCCCTCCTCTTTTACTTAACAGAACTACCCACGGTAATGCTACTGCTCCCACTTCCCGGAAAATTGCTCCATTCCTCCCTCTTTACCCTGAACTGCTCTGTTTTTCAGGAAACAAAAGCAGCTACTCTGCAACTTTCATAGCTATCGTTGTGCCTATTGCTGCTGTTGTAGTTTTAGCACTAATGATCAGCATCTACATCTTTCTGCGAAATTGTAGGCCAAAACCCAGTGGAGAAAACTGTAAGCTAATCAAATTAGAACTATTTTTTGTTTCATTTTGGAACACTGTTCATATATTTTGCGCCGACAGATCAAGCCGAGGAAAAAACTACGACAGTGGGGTTCTTACAGTTCGATTTCAACACCATTAGAACAGCAACAGATGAATTTTCAGACGAAAACAAACTTGGGGAAGGTGGGTTTGGAGCTGTTTACAAGGTAATAATGAAAAGCTTTCATTTTTATCAGTAGCTCGCAGTCGCCGGCGATGAACTTTTTTCTCTCTGTCCATTAACAGGGGAAGCTTCCAAACAAACGAATCGTAGCAGTCAAACGGCTTTCTAAGGTTTCAGGGCAGGGAGATGATGAATTTAAGAACGAACTCCTTTTGTTATCTAAGCTTCATCATCGGAATTTAGTTAAGCTTTTGGGTTTCTCCTTCAAACAAAATGAAAAGCTTCTCATTTATGAGTTCTTGCAGAATGGAAGCCTTGAAAAATTCATTTTCGGTACATAATTCTTCCTCAATTTTCAACATTTCTTCATTAAATTATATCTCTAATCACTAATCCTTCAATACCCAGATCCTCTCAAGCGCCAAACTTTGAATTGGGCAATGCGCTACAAAATCATACAAGACATCACTCGCGGACTTGTTTATCTTCATGAAGATTCTCGAATCAAAATTATTCATCGAGATCTAAAACCCAGTAATATTTTGTTGGATACAAACATGAACGCTAAAATTTCAGATTTTGGTACTGCAAGGTTGTTCGCATCTGAACAAACTCGAGATGATACATCTGCAATAATCGGCACTTTGTAAGTAGTAAAGCTCTTATACGTGCGACTTAACTTCACTTTACACTAAATTTTCTACTACTGAGTCTCAATCTTGTTTGTGAAATTTAAGTGGATATATGGCTCCGGAATATGCAAGACACGGTCAATTCTCATCAAAGTCGGACGTGTTTAGCTTTGGTGTTCTAGTTTTAGAGATTGTGACTGGACGAAGAAATAACCGAGCCAATAGCTACAACGAGAATATCGAAGATCGTCTTATAAGCTCCGTAAGTATAGCGTATGAGAATAACCATTAAATTCGTTTAGGAGTTGAACATGAATTGAGTTGGTGGATGCAGGCATGGAGAAACTGGAGGGAAGGAACAGCGTTGAACATTGTAGATCCTTGTGTTGAAATTCGAAGTGAAATGATGAGGAATGAGGCGACAAGATGCATCCAGATTGGGTTACTCTGCATTCAAGAGAAGGTGTGTGAAAGGCCAACGATGGGTACCATCCTTCTCTTGCTAAACGGCGACTTGGCTGATTTTCCCACGCCCTCACAGCCTTCTTTCTTTATGAACACTAAGAACCCCCCAAGCTAATAGCTCTTACTCTGTGGAATCATTGTCAACACTTAATAATCTTAAATTGATTTGTTTCGGGCTCGTTGTTTTAACGATCTTCTATCTTTATAATGTTTGGTGATGATTTGTATATGCAAACCATTGTGGTATAATTTTCTAGTAGATATTGTCCACTTTAGCTCGTTACATATCGTCGTTAGTTTCACGGTTTTTAAAATGTGTCTGTTAAGGAGAGGTTCATACACCCTTATAAGGTAGGTTTCGTTCTCTTTAATCGATGTGAGGTCTTACAATTCACCTCCCTTGGAGACCCAACGTCCTCGCTAACACACCGCTCGGTATCTAGCTCTGACGCTAACAGATATTGTCTGCTTTGGCTCATTACGTATCCCCGTCAGCCTCACGATTTTTAAAATGGAGAGATTTCCACACCCTTAAATGTGTTGTTCCCCTCTTCAACCAATGTAGGATCTTACAACATGACAATGATAATAACACTTGTTTGGAAGAACAAAATTCAAACACGATGATATTTCTATTCGAACTCAAATTTCGATCAACCAACATGATATCTCAGTTGATCTCACAACATGACAATGACGAGAACACTTAGTTGAATTATGTTTGGAAGAACAAAATTCAAACACGTTGATTTTTCTTTTCATACTCAAATTTCGATCAAAAAGAACTTCTCGATTTTTCATTCAATATTCTAACCGTTTTCATAATCGAATGAGTTGAATTGAAGCCCAATGAAAATTGAATTTGAAATATGAACAAAAATTAAAAAAATTGAGCTCAAGCATTCTCCTATGTTACATTCACTCAGATTCTCTGTAACCATTAAATTAGGCAATGAACTGTGCATGAATGAAGAGAGAAGAAAACGTTTTAACAAGGAGATTTAAATCCCATAGGGTTTCCAGCAATGTAATCACTCAAAACATTGAGGGCACCAAGTGTGGTCATCAAAACAGTACTCAAAGCCATCACTATACTAACTGAGAAGATGATGAGAGATGCCCTTCCATAGTCACGAATCCCCTTCTGAATCACTACCAACCCGAGCACCGAGGAAATGAAGCAGACGATCGCGAAGATCACTGCAATTTCAGCATGCTCCATTCCCAGCAGCAAATACTGGCAAGCTGACATTGTAGCCGAAAAGAACACCATGAAGGAGCAAGTTGCTGCCGTTTCCTGTATTTACAATTTTCAGATATGAGCCTCATGGGCAATAATGATCTGAACCTTTGTAGAACTCTTTGTAGATATTGTCCGCTTTAGTCCGTTACGTATTGTAATCAGCCTCATGGTTTTAAAACGCGTGTACTAAGTAGAGGTTTTCACACCCTTATAAGAAATGTTTCGTTTCCCTCACAATCCACCCCCTTGGAGGCCCAACGTCCGCATTAGCACACCGCCAGGTGTCTGACTTTAATACCATTCGTAATAGCCAAAATGAACAATATCTACTAGCGGTGGGTTTGGGTTGTTACAAATTGTATCAGAGCCAGTGAGGACGCTGGGCCCCAGGGGGTGGATTGTGAGATCCCACATCGGTTAGAGATGAAAACGAGGCATTGCTGATAAGGATGTGGAAACCTCTTCCTAACAGACGCATTTTAAAACCATGAGGCTGAAAGTGATACGTAATAGACCAAAACGGACAGTATCGATTAGCGGTGGGCTTGAGTTGTTACACTTATATTTCAACTTGTTTAGAGACTTATTAAACACTCTTTAAAGTTGAATAACCGATAAAATAAAGCATAAAAAGTTTGCGAGATGTAAGGACTTGCCTCAGGAACTATTCCAACTTGAAGAAGGAAAGGGCTTATAAGCATGCCACCGCCAATCCCAAACATGCCACCCAAAATCCCAGCTAAAAGTGCCATTACTGGGAAGATCAGTTTCTTTGATGGTTCAACTGCAGGCCGTGCTTCTTCTACCTCCTATACAAGGAACAACAGAAAAGATTTGCTTTTGCCTTTGATATCAGACACGAAAGCAAATTTGTTCGAGCCTAAGCAACAAGATATCATAGAACTAGCTTCATTCTTTGCACCTTCTGAGGGGAATCTTCAGGTTCAGGACCCTTCTGTTTGTGAAGAATCCAGAGAGTGAAAGCTATGGCCACTGGAACTTGGAGAGAAGAGATAACCCAGTAACCCGTTCCACACGTTTCTATCGGTAAAAGACCCTGCAAAAACAAGGATTTTACAATGACAAAGTATTCGAGTTGCTCGAACGAAGAAAAGATCATATGGAGTAGAATTCACCGAGTTCGACATGATTTTTGAAGAGTTAAAGGTAGCTTCATACTAATTGTTTGATTACTTAAGTACATAATCTAAAAGTGGAATTAAGAATATGTTGAAACAACACTTCAAAACGTTTCCCATAAAAGTACTTGTTCTTACTTTTAGCAGTGATTCCAAGCCAATCGAGGGTTGTTTGGAAGAGCTTATCTTTAAAAGGAAACTAAGGGTTGTGTGGAAGAGCTCATCTTTAAAAGGAAACTAAGGGTTGTGTGGAAGAGCTCATCTTTAAAAGGAAACTAAGGGTTGTGTGGAAG